CTGATCTTTGATCATTGGTGTTCAATGTGTCAAATCTGTTCTTCAGATGGTCTCTAAATTCAGGGAGGATGTAATCAAGGTCATAGTCTGGCTCTTGTGAACTTGATTTAATTTTCTTCAGCTTCAACTTGAACTCACATATGAGCAACTGATGGTTCCACAGTCAACTCCTGGCCTTGTTTTGACTGATGATATTGAACTTCTCCAAGGAGCTCTGGTTGCACAGTGCCTAAGGCATTTGACTGCTAACCAGAAGGTTGGCAGTTCAAACCTACCAGCTAGTCCTTGAAAGGAAGATGGGGTAATTTAATTCTATAAAGATTTACAAATTTGGAAACCCAATGAGGGTCACTATGAGTCGGAATTGACTCAATGGCAGTGGGTGTGTTTTTTTATTGAGCTTCTCTATTGCCTCTTTCCACAGATGGATCTGATCTGATTCTTGTTTATTCTGTCTGGTGAGGTCCACATGTATAGCTGTTGTTTAAGTTGTTGGGAAAAGTTTTCTTTTGCAATGAATAGGTCATCGGTCTTACAAAATTCTATCATGTGATCTCTGGTGTCATTTTTATCTCCAGATCCATATTTTCCAACTACCAGTGATTCTTCTTTGTTTCTAATGTTTGCATTCCAATTATCAGTAATAATCAATATATTCTTGATTGCACGTTTGATCAATTTCAGACTGCAGAAGTCGGCAAAAATTTTCAATTTCTTCATCTTTGGCTTTAGTGGTGGGTGCATAAATTTGAATAATAGTAGTATTAACTGGTCTTCCTTGTGGGTGTGTGGACATTATGCTATCACTGACAGTACTGTCCTTCAGGATGGATCTTAAAATGTTCTTTTTGATGATGAGTGGAATGCCATTCCTCTTCAATTTGTCATTCCTGGCATAATAGATCACATGATTATCTGATTCAAAATGGCCAATACCAGTCCTTTTCCACTCACTAACGCCTAGGATATTGATCTTTATGTGTTCCATTTCATTTTTGACAACTTCCAATTTTCCTAGATTCATACCCCATATGCTCCATGTTCCAATTATTAATGGATACTTGCAGCCGGTTCTTCCCATTTTGAGTCGTGCTGCATTAGTAAATGAAGATCCTGAAAGCTTTACTCCATCCACGTCATTAAGATCAATTACTTTGAGGAGGCAGCTTTTCCCCAGTTGTGTTCTGAGTGCCTTCCAACCTGAGGGGCTCACCTTCCCACACTATATCAGACAATATTTCAGGGCTATTCATAATGTTTTGCAGTAATATATCAGACAGTGTTCCACCACCATTCTTAAGGTTTTCAGTGGCCAGTTTTTTCAGAAGTGGATGGCCCTGTCCTTCTTCTGTCTCAGTCTGGAAGCTCTGCTGGAACCTGTCCACCATGAGTGACCCTGCTGGTATTTGAAATACTGGTGGTATAGCCTCCAGCCTCACAGCAACAAGCAAGCCACCACGGGAGGACAAACTGACAGACAAGTGGTGAGCAGATGTAATTAGTTATGTTAAAATGAGGTCATACTGGTTTAGGGTGGGTCTGAAATCCAATGACTGGGATCCTAATGAGAAGGTCATGTGAAGACACAGAGACACATAAGGTGAAGCCATGTGAAAACAGAGGCAAAGATCAGGGTGAAGCATCTACAAACCAAGGAATAGCAAGAACTTCTGGGAACCACCAGAAGCTGTAAGAGGCAGGAATGTTCCTTCCCTAGAGCCACCAGAAAGAGCATGGTCCTGCTGACACTTTGATTTTGGACATCAGCCTGCAGAACCGCGAGAAAATAAAGTTCTGTTCCTTTAAGCCCCACAGTTTGTGGTACTTTGTGACGGAAGCCCTAGAAGACTAATGGGGGGTGTGAAGAGAGAAGGAAGGAGTGGGCATGTGTTGAGGTGGGTGGCTGGGTGACTGGGTGAATGGTGAGGCTGCCCTTGTGATGGGGATGTGGCGGAGGAGATTTGGGGGATGATGCTGAGGTTGCTCTGGGATTTGCTGAGCATGAGGGGCTTGTGGGATGTCCAGGAGAAATGGACGGTCAGAGATGGTGGCTGTAGGGTCAGATGGCATCAGGGAGCCCCTGTGTCTGGGATGCCCCAAGGCCCCAGACCCTGCACAGAGGAAGGCGGTGGAACCTGTGTGACGTTGGTCCTCTCTGGGCCCCACATGATCATGCTAGGAGTTGGTAGCAGGGAGGAGATGGGAGCAGGGGACAGGTCAGGGGACAGAAGTGGGAGAGGCCAGCAAAGGAGTGGCCCCAGGAGCCATGGGAGTGGACCAGCTCTCCCAGGACAGCATGGAGAATGAGAAGAGAGGCACGGATGGGGGTTGAGCCCCATGGGAACCCAACACCTATGGAGAACCTATTTTATGATAAGTTGTGGGGGCACAAGAAGGATAAAAATTCCTGCCTTGGTGGAGTTCACATTATGGAAGAGATAAAGGCAAATAACTAGATAAATAAGCAGATCACTTATGTTATAGGGCATTCATTGGTGATTCAGCGGTAGAGTTCTCAAATCCATAGGGAAGACCTGGGTTCGAGTCCCAGTCAATGCACCTCGCACACAGCCACCACCCATATGTCAGTGGAGGCTGTGTGCTGCTATGACACTCACCGGGTTGTAGTGGAGCTTCCAGACTAAGATGTACTAGGAAGGAAGGCCTGGAGATCTATTTCTGAAAGTCAGCCAATGAGAACACTGGATCACGACAATCGCATCCACAACAGATCATGGGGATGGTGCAGGACTGGGAGGCATTTCATTCTGTTGTTCATGGGGTCATCAACTCCATCAACAACATGGGATGACTCCAATAACGTCATCCCAACTCCACAGCAGCTAACAATAGAGGCTTAGGGAAGGGGAGGAGACTGACTACTTAATGGGTAGGGATCCTCTTGGGGTGATGAGGTGTTTTGGAACTAGAAATCTGTGACTTTGCACAACATTGTGAGTGTATTAAACTAAAAACAAAACAAAACAAAAAAATATCTGCTTCCTCTGAGTCAATTCAGACTTACGGCGATCCCATGGGTTAGTGTAGAGTTGTGCTCCATAGTTTTATTGGCTATCATTTCTAGGAAGCAGCTCTCCAGGCCCTGCTGAGTAGGTTTGAACCAATAACCTTTAGGTTAGTTGTTGTTGTT